CTCAGGCATTCCCTTCACGGGTCCAGACTATGGACGCTTATGTCTGGTAGCATGCGGAATTTAAAGTGGATTTCTGGTACATTTTGGCCATACCACCAAATTTCTGTGATGGTTTGCTTATTCGTCTGCCCAGCTCCCTGACTGCCAGACCCCCGAAGTTGTACTGGTTTATTCGAAATGGCATCAATCACTGACAACGTCTTCGCTTGATTGCCAAAAACCCCCGCCCCCATTTTACTCATCGCGATCCCTTTTTCTCCGGTTGGCGGCAGATCCTTGATCCAGGCGTCTCTTTTTTTTCTGGTCTTGTTCCATTCTTGTTTTCCCCAAGTTTGCTTAAGCAGTAGGAAAAGTTATCGCTAACTTTACCTTCCTCCAATCTCTTGTTCATTAGATTTTTCTCCCCAACGACGTTAATGACCTCCGTAATCTTGCGCTTCATTGTGTTGTCACCGCATGGGGCTCTTCTTTCTGTTGCCTTCCAATTGATCTCGTGTCCAGTCTGTGTGATGTATTCTGCTAGTTTAGATCCTTCGGCATCCATTTTCCTTGATTCGTGTGCTAATTTTTCTCCCGTTTCGCCAATATATTTTTGATCACAGGCGCTGCATGACATAATGTAAACTCTGGAACAATCCATGTTGCGTTGGTAAACTTGTCGAAAGTGCTGATTTTTCTTTCATGGCCACCGGAAAATTCCATTTTAGTTTCTTAGTTAGTTCGCAGGAAGTTAGGCATATCCACTTTTGTGAATCCTCCGCCGTCCTTTCTGTCCTTTCATAGTTATCGTTCTGTCATCAGCTTTTCACGGCCCGTATGTGTTTTTGTATCACTTTGATTAAGTAGCCATTGCCGAGGAAGATCCTAGTCAATTTGTCCAGCTCCTCGTCCCAGAATTCTACCTCAGTTAAGCGTAGGCTTAGGATGATTATGCTCCTTATTATTCCAACCTTTAGCCTGTAATTGTGATGGTACCGGAAATAGAGTATTATCCCAGCAGAGGACTTCTTTCTGAACAATTTCTTTTTGACCGTCCCATTTGAACGAATCACTTCAACGTACAGGAACGGTAACCGCTCATCTTCCTCTACTTTCATCATTAATTGAATTTTACCATCAATCTGCTTTACAAACTTCAGAAACTCTTCCAGTTTTTATCTTTCATGTGACCAAAGTGTGAAGCAATCATCCAGTTACGCATGAGCACTGTCGGTTGTAGCGGTGCCATCTTAAAGTTCTCTTCTATTTTGCTAATTTATACGTTTGTCAAAATTGGTGAGAGCGGCGATCGCATGGGAAGTCCAAATATTTGTTCATGGATGTTCCCGTTGAATGTAAAATAGCTGGTCCTTATTGTCAAGTTGATTAGTCTTGTTGACGACTCCCTACCGATCCGTTGTGATTCCAGGACATCCTCCTCTCGATTCAGCATTTCCAACAGGACGGTTAGCACATTTTCTCCAGAGATGCATGGATTCCATATCTAAACTTACAAATAAATCCGTTTCTTCCAGTGCCATGTTTTTGATTTTTTGATAAAATTCACATAAATGTTTCACCGTGTTAGATAGCCTCTTATTTAATTTCTTGAGTTTCAAACATATAAACTTTGCCAATTTGTGTGTTGCTCCATACTTGTTGCTGACGTTCTTTGTGTATCTTCAGCAATCCGTACGCTGTTGGTGGTCGTGCAGCCTTTCTTATGATTGAATTTTTTGTGTATGCGTCAATTTCCCCATTCCTATGCATATCTTTGAGCATGGCACTTAAGATTCCATTGATATTCATAGTTGCGTACTTGTTTAATATACGATATGTAGTCCTGTTTAGTAGAAGCCTGGTGGAGATGGTTATTAACCTTAACCGAGTGGTAGGGTCTCTCAAGGTCAAAGAAATTCGTCGTTATGGCCAAATTGTACTGGACATCGATTTGAGATGCCGTATCCGACAAAAGATAGGAATCTACAGTTTGCTCAATTAACATGAATTTAATTAAGAAGAAGACCCGCGAAGGGAATGCCTGATATCTGCAAGCATGGGAATCACAGTCTATGCGCCCTGCTCGGTGAGGGAGCAGTGTGCGTGCTTCTAGGACCTTGAGAAATAGCGCATGGAAGAAATGGGCACATAAACTGGAACCGAGTGAAATCGGTCAAGCAGAAAGATAAGGAACGGATCTACGAGACAATGAGGGGATCCGGATTGGAAGCCCAATTCGGATAAGCCGATCGACCACACTCGGTTTGCCACAAAAGGGCACACATTTTGACGAGTGAAATGTAAACAAGCGACAAGTTGTGATAGGGAGGGAGTGGGATAAGAGGATACAGAGTGTATAGCTAGGCCACGACATAAAGAAAAGTGATAGTTTCACCGTTTTCGGAAGGATTGACTTCACTTGTCCTTTGACAAGTTTGTAATTTGGTGCGGATAATGGCAAAACTGACTGATGATGCCGACTACGATGCCGGTGAAACGTTTGAAAATGTACCAAGTCCACTGTCTGATGCTGGCAGTCATGAAAACTACTATGGCAGACGAATTCGGACTAGTTGCGCTGTAATATGTCCCTATGACAACAAGACC